GCTGGATTGGAAGAGGAGCAGCAGGAACTAGAACCAGCACCCATATAGGATGCTGGCGCCGCAGGTGAAGGATTAACCTACTGCGCAATGGCAGTTTCTCTAAAAACATTTACAATTAAATTTGTGAAAGAGTTTCTAATATTTATAATTAGATACAGCTTTCTAGCAAATTTAAGATCAATAACTAAATAAACATTCTAGGAGTCTAAAAAGGGAATTGACCAATTCATAGAACTGCTAACAGAGATCAAACTGAGTTAATTATATGAGACTCCACGGAGTAATAAAAATTTACTTAAAACATTGATGGTTCTATACTTAAATATTTTATCTTCTAAATAGAAATAAAACTTTTTCTTGAATTGTCTGAAGTTTTACATCACTTGAGAAAGTATATTTGTGTAAATAGAAAAATCATTTGCCTCTTCACAGGTTTGTAATGAGTAACATAGAGTTAGTAGTTCTTATTGGGTCTTTACACATCTAAATATTAGACAGTATAATGAAGTCTGCCATGGTTATGCTTCCTAACTTTGATAGCTTTTAGATTCTGAGATGACTACATAGTAAATCAATTTTTCTTGATGCATTTATGAAAATGGTCAACCTCAAAACTGTGTCTGTGTCTCAAAACCGTAATACCCTTTTAGTTGATTATAACTCTGTTCATTGTTTTAAAGATGCAATATTTACTTGTTTAATTCTTGTTGGCTTTGTTTTGTATTTTCCTTTTTGGACTTTATGCCTGGTGCCTGTCAGATTTCTATAGAAGTACAATTCCTAACTCCTAACTCACTTCTGACCCGGTGAGATGATAATTATCACCACATTACAAATAGTGTTATATTTGATAATACACTGCAGATAAGCTTAACCCAAGTACATCTCCTCCTAAAATTTCTTTGTTGCTTACAAGTGGCCAAAAGAGTTTTTGACACTGACTCCTGGTTGTCAATTACCTCCCTCCTGATATAGAACTAGATCGGATCAGCAACCAGGATGGGTCTATCCTGACAATGAAGGGCAAAAACATATGGCTACAGGATGACCAATATGCAGGTTTTTCAGAAAATGATATTGATTACAATAAGAAAATACAAAAGTTGTCATATCAATGTGGAGTCACTGGTACCAAACATCAACTAAAATAGGTGAAGTCAAGAGGTTATGGAGAAAGCGTTCCCATTCATTGCTATCTGATGGTAGCTCATAAAAGGCTCTGCCAGAGCTACAACCTCAACAGAGGGCTGTCATTTCAAGAAAGAGATTCTAACTAGATATGATCTTGGATATTCTCACTGCTAAGGCTGGAATCTATTAAAGCACCTGCACTGGGGTCACCAGACCTGAAGAAGCTCTTTGTACTCTTTGTAAACAAGAAGCAAGAATTAGGACTGGGAGCACCTAGGACCTTGTTGCATATTTTTGTCTTCTTTAATATGCTTTGATACTCAAACAATTCATAATATAAAACCTCATATGAAGCTAAAAGTATGTAGAAAAATAAATATAAAATTTTAAAACAATATACAAAGGTACGGCACTGCGGCTCACTAGGCTAATCCTCCACCTTTGGCGCCAGTACCTCAGGTTCTAAGCCCGGTTGGGGCGTCAGATTCTGTCCCAGTTGTTCCTCTTCCAGTCCAGCTCTCTGCTGAGGCCCGGGAAGGCAGTGCAGGATGGCCCAGGTCCTTGGGCCCTGCACCTACATGGGAGACCAGGAGGAAGCACCTGGCTCCTGGCTTCGGATCCACGCAGTGTGCCGGCCGTAGCGGCCATCTGGGGGGTGAACCAATGGAAGGAAGACCTTTCTCTCTGTCGCTCTTTCACTGTCTAACTCTGCCTGTCAACAAAACAAAACAAAACAAAAAACAATATACAATGGATTTATGTAGCTAGCTGTAACTCTTCACCTGGGCAAACCCACCGTCACTCAGGAGTACATGGTAGAAATAACAAAGTTTGTCTTTTCCAATTGGTATTTAAAATTGTGCAAAAATCATCTTTCTTAGAAAAACCACAGCAGGCTTACTATCTCTTCATTACTTAATTTAGTCAAGACTCCCATGAGCTAATCTTATGAAGTATCCACTATGACTTCCATGGTCCAATGTTTTTTGTTTGTTTGTTTTTGTTTGATTTGGTTTGGTTTCAGTTTTACTGATATTATGAAGCTAATTTCACCTTTTTTTGACTAGAGTGGGCCCACTATTCTGGGGTAGGAGACTATTTTCTCATTAATAGAGATTTCATAACTCTAAGATTTAACTGATTTGTCTGGGCATCACCAGCATTGGAGTAGCTAAAACACAGACAATGAGATATACAAAGAAAAGAAAAAATAGTAATTTGGGTTCACCATCTAATTTGACATAGGAGAACAACCAAGGGACCCTTGTGGGACTCTTATTTCTTGATGGTCCCTATTCCTCCTGCTCTTTCTTTTGTTTCAGAAACCAAAGTCGGCCAAGAAAGAGAGAATGAGCAAGTGCTAGATAGACATAATACCAGCTTCTTCATATCCAGTAGACAATCAAGTGACAGAAAGATACAGGCAACGTGTTCTCCAACAGACAAGGGTTTCATGATCCAACACTCCCTTTTATATCTCCATTGGTCTTTATGAAGACATATTCTGTTAGATTGACCGCATTTGTATTCAGACACAGTGGCTGGATGGATTAATGGTAAATTTTATGTAGTTTTGCTGAAAAATCGTGAAAATGCATCTCGAAAGATACCGATTAAATCACTGTTCTTTCTTTTTTTTTGGACAGGCAGAGTTAGACAGTGAGAGAGAGAGACAGAGAGAAAGGTCTTCCTTATGTTGGTTCACTCCCCAAATGGTTGCTACGGCCAGCACACTGCGCCGATCCGAAGCCAGGAGCCAGGTGCTTCCTCCTGGTCTCCCATGCAGGTGCAGGGCCCATGGACTTGGGGCATCCTCCACTGCCTTCCTGGGCCATAGCAGAGAGCTGGACTGGAAGAGGAGCAACAGGGACAGAATCCGGTGCCCTGACCAGGACTAGAACCTGGGGAACTGGCGCCACAGGTGGAGGATAAGCCTAGTGAGCCACAGCGCCGGGCTTCACTGTTCTTTCTTAACAGTTGGATATTGGAGTGTACCACAATGGGAAATTCTTTTCTATTAATACTTAACAACCAAGCCGGCGCCGTGGCTCAATAGGCTAATCCTCCACCTTGCGGCGCCGGCACACCGGGTTCTAGTCCCGGTTGGGGCGCCGGATTCTGTCCCGGTTGCCCCTCTTCCAGGCCAGGCCCTCTGCTATGGCCAGGAGTGCAGTGGAGGATGG